CCCATGTGAATTTTTGAACAGCTCTCCATGGTGACTAACGAGTCTACATTTCCAAGTGTTGGTATTCTCAACAGGCTCTAACAGCTCAAATGCACTCAGCACCTGTCAGGTGAATGCATGAACTCCTGATAGTCCGCACCTGTCAGGTGAATGCATGAACTCCTGATAGTCCGGAGTACCTCTGTCTCTACTTCACCAAGTCCCTTGCTTGCCAGCGATTAACCAAGCCCCGATGCACTAGAAGTCTGTCAGGCAGCAAGACTGATGATGATGATAAGAGACTTCTTGCTGGACTGCTGATAGGAGCTATGAGAAATTCAGAAACAAAAACACTCAGATAGGAACATTGCAAAGGTATTACGTAGTAGCCAGAGATCAGGAAGGGAATTCAGACTTTCTCCTTCCTCCCTGCCAAATTTCACAGCTGGGAAAAACAAACACTTCCCTGCCCCCAACAAATTTCATTTGCTATCTCATCCTTAGATGAGAATGAGCTACTAATGAATTAATGCAATTATACAAACATAGTAGAGCACCAGGCGGACATATAAATATGCATTTTTACCTCTAATTGTCAGGGAAAATGGACAACTTAGCTGTACACCTAACTGGGGGAAGAATTTAGGAAATGGCAGTTCCTCCCTGCCATACACATCACTCCCAGCCATCTTACTTGGAAAATCCGATAGATTGTGAGGTTGCTTTTTAATTGTGAAAGATCGTACCTTAAGTTAGGTCTCAAAGAACGTAGCCTGCATTTCTTGTTCTTTTCAAAGTGGCCTGAGAAATGCTTCGTCAGTGCATCTGAAAAAAAAAAAAAGCAAAATAAGTTCTCTTTTGATTTTTTTGAATCAATACCTGAAGTAATGATCAAAAGAAGAAGAGAAAAAAAAATCCACCTGTGCATCAACAAGAAAAATGCTGGACCTTTCAGCTCCATCCTTTGCCTCGGAGCTGTTCTGCAGGCTCCCTGCCGCAGCTACTAAAGTAGATAGATAATGTAGGACAGAACGACTAAGCCTATGATGGCAAAGAACATCAAGATGAAAATATCCAGCATTGTGCAGTCTTAGGCCGAGGAGGCACTGGATTCTGGGGAGATGGGAGCTGTGAACGCCAAGGTGGCAGTCAGTGCAGAGAAATGGCTCCTTTACTCTCTTGTTATCCTCTCCCTTTCTCGGGACCGAGACTGGGAGATGCAGAGACTCCAGCCTTTAGCAGCTTATTGAGCCCTTCCCCCACCACCACAGTCAACCAATCACAAAGCCCAGGGTGGCTAACCAGGGAACTGCTACATTTAGATCCCACCAAGGCAAAGAGGCTCAATTTTCTCCCAAGGAATCCAGTTTTGCCCCTTTGTATGGAAATGCTATCTGCTTTTAGATACTCAGTGTCTATTCCCAGCATGCTGCTAGGGGAGAAAGGAGGGGAGGGGAACACACACACACACACACAATGGAGAAAGGAGGGGAGGGGAACACACACACACACACACAATGGAGAAAGGAGGGGAGGGGAACACACACACACACACACAGAATGGAGAAAGGAGGGGAGGGGAACACACACACACACACACACACACACACACACAGAATGGATTCTCCAGACTGCTTTTGTTCTTCCTTTTTTCTTTCACATATTTGTGGCAAATTGTCTCAGCAGAATAATGGCTGGTGATTGGGTGAATGGGCCATTGCGAGTTCAGAGGTCATATTCTGGGGAACGTGAGGCTCCTTGGTGATGGACGGCCATTTACACGATTCTGCCCCTGTGCCAGGGATTTCACAGGTGGTGGACTTTCAGTCTGCCAGTGGGTCTTCAGGTCTTTACGCCTGGGGCTCAGAGGTGGTCAGGAGCTTTCCAGATCTGAGACTGACAACCCAGCTCCCACTCTCTAAAGTCCACAGTCTTTCTCCTGACCAAGATTGGCTCACCCTGTTGGTCTGGGAGCCCTCTGACCCTTACTGCACGGGTTCAAGGTTTTGTGTCATGTGATTCCATTTACAGGATTGACTGAGGCCTTTCCTCCTCTGGGCCCTTCATGTCTGTGCCAGTATCATCTACCCTTTCCTTTGTGTCCTTCACTGAATTCAGCATGGCATTATCCACATGCTTATATCCACAAAAATATCCTCATGACTAGTCACTCATAAGAGTAAGTAAGGGGCTGGGAAGATGGCTCAGTGGTAGAGCGCTTGCCTTGCATGCCTGAGGCCCTGGGTTCGATTCCTCAGCACCACATAAGCAAAAAGAAAAAAGCTGGAAGTGGCGCTGTAGCTCAAGTGGTAGAGCGCTAGCCTTGAGCTGAAGAGCTGAGGGACAGCGCCCAGGCCCAGAGTTCAGGCCCCACGACCGGACCCAAAAACAAAACAAAAAAAAAAGTGAGTAGAAACATAAATCCAAATGGCTTCTGAGGGAAGAAAGATTGAAATCTGAAGTCTTGATGTCTAAAAAAAAAGAGACAAGACTCCTATCTTAATTTCTACATTTGTGTGTGTGTGTGTGTGTGTGTGTGTGTGTGTGTGTGCCTGCTAGTCCTGGCGCTTGAACTCAGAGCTTGAACACTGTCCCTGAGCTTTTTTTTTTTTTTTTGTCGGTCATGGGGCTTGAATTCTGGGCCTGGGCACTGTCCCTCAGCTCTTCAGCTCAAGGCGAGCACTCTACTGCTTGAGCCACAGCACCACTTCCAGTTTTCTAGTGGTTTACTGGAGATAAGAGTCTCACGGGCTTTCCTGCCTGGGCTGGCTTTGAACCACAATCCTCAGATCTCAGCCTCCTGAGTAGCTAGGATTACAGGTGTGAACCACCTGCGCAGGGCTCCCTGAGCATTTTTTGCTCAAGGCTAGCACTCTACCACTTGAGCCACAGCTCTATTTCTGGATTTTTGGTGGCTAATTGGAGACAATATTCTCACAGACTTTCCTGCACAGTATGGCTTTGAAACACAATCCCCATATCTCAGCCTCCTAAGTAGCTAAGATTATAGGTATGAGCAACCAGTGCCCAGTACTTTCTACCATTCTGTGTCTCAATAGTTTAAAAAAAAATTTTTTTTTTTGGTTGTGGGGCTTGAACTCAGGGCCTGAACGGTGTCCCTGAGTTTTTAGCTTAAGGCTAGTGCTCTACTACTTTGAGCCACAGCACTACTTCTGGCTTTCTGGTGGTTAATTAGAGTTAAGAGTTTCAGGGGCTGGGAAGGTGGCTCAGTGATAGAGCGCTTGCCTTACATGCCTGAGGCCCTGGGTTCGATTCCTCAGCACCACATAAGCAAAAAGAAAAAGGCCAGAAGTGGTGCTGTGGCTCAAGTGGTAAAGCGCTAGCCTTGAGCTGAAGAGCTGAGGGACAGCACCCAGGCCCAGAGTTCAGGCCCCACAACCGGACCCAAAAAAAAAAAAAGAGTTTCATAGACTTTCCTGTCCAGACTAAGTTTGAACCACGATCTCCAGATCTCAGCCTCTTGAGTAGTTTAGGATTGCAGGCATGAGCCACCAGCACTGGGCTCCTTTAAAAAACATTTTTTCCAGCAGCTTTGCTATGTAGCCCAGACTGACCTTGGACTGAATTCTCCTGCCTCCACCTCCCAAATGCTGGTATTACTGGAGTGAACCACCACACTTGGCTGTTTCCTGCTAAATTAGAAGAAAAGAAAGAAAGAAAGAAAATCCCTGGAGCACTTCTAAGGTCTAGTCTCCTTGGCTTGAGCCCAAACAGTTTTTGAAGGGTTCCAGAATAGACACCAGTGATCCCCTTTACAACACTGAGCCTCAGGAACTCAGGCCATTTCCAAATGGGAATCTCGACCCCTTGGTTGGAGCACAGAGCTGTGAACAGGAAGCCTGCCTGTCCCTTTCAGTGGCTGGGAAGGTGACAAAGAGACAGGTGACAGAAACCTCCAAGGGAGGGGCAGTGAGAGGGTGAAGACAAGCCAATCGTGAACCAGCTCTGGCTCCTCCCCCTCCGGCTGGGAACGTAGTAAGCAGCCAGCTATCTGTGTGTAAATGTGGGGGGCGGGTGCATGGTGTCACTGTTGCTTTGTGTTACCCGGGTGCCGCCTCTGTACTCCCCACTCAGGTTCAGTTCTGTGTCATTCTCCTGGTTACAAACGCTAAGCTGGAAGAAGCCCTTTTCCCTCCCTTCGATTGTACTTGAGGCCAGAGCCCCAATGGAAGAAATGCTCCTCAGCACAAAGCACCTGCACAGGCAACTACTGGTGAAGAGTAGGGCCCCCCCCACCCCGGGGTAGGGACCAGGGGAAGAGATGCTTCTTTATTACTGCCTCTCTGAGCAAGAGGGGAGTCCCACTCCCTATCAGACCCTGGGTGCATGCAGTTAAGCCTGGAGATACATAGAGGGCAGCCTAGGACAGGATAACACCTGGCACGGGTGTGCAGGTAGCTGGTCCTCATGCTGGGATCCAAAGGCCTTATACTAAACCATTTAACATTTGTGATTTCAGGAACACGATCTGAATCAGTTACTTTACTCCCAGAGCTGCTAGCAAGATAGGAAGAGAAATAGGAAGTCACACTCATAAGGTATAGTGAGGGCCCAGTCCTGTTATTTCACCGATTAAGCAGGCACTGAGCTACTATTATCTGCCCTGCACTGGGCATAGGCAAGGGCTGGCTCAAGGGTTTAATTAGTAGCTCTAGGCCAAACCCTAGCCAGATTCCAGAGAATTCAACTTGGATAGCCATCCTCTGCCCCACTGCACCAGGCAGTGGAGGACATTTCCCCTTGGAAGTATGATGAGAGCTGAGCACTGTCTGGGATCTGGGAGTGTCACCGGGCTGGGTACAGATGAGTGATGGAGAAGCCAGCAGCAGGCTAGGGGAAAGTTCTCAGCCAGGAGGAAGATGTCAGGACCTAGAGGACAGCAAGCTGCCCTTTGACTCTTAGTTCTCTGCCTGGCTCTCAGAGGGTAACAGGCCAATGTCCCCAAGCAGACAGGACTCGCATACCCAGGAGCGCCTCAGAGCCAAAGAAGAAGCCAAGTCCGCAGGTAAAAATTATACTTTTATTTGAGTCACCAGGAAAAAGATTCAGTTGTGGTTCAAGTCAATGTTCAGAGTCATAACAGGCCAGAAAGATCTGATCCCAAGCACAAGCTCACAAGGGAAGGGATCAAACAGACCGAGGAAAGACAACCCCATATAAAAGATGAGTGGGTAGCTTCTCACACACGCACACATGTACACACACACACACTCACGGACAAAATGTTTGGACAGAGGCCATTTTCACAGGGTCACTTGTGTTTCTTTTTAAATACAGGCTTCTGGGGATGGTACATTGTTTTTGTTTTGTTTTCCAGCTATATATATATTTAAAATAAAAAGGCCCAAAAGTGCATATGTGAAGGGAAAAAGGCAGAAACTAAGCATAAAAGTTTTCCCTGGAGAGAGGGGCGGGGCAGGCAGGAAGCAGTGTTGGGAGAATCCATGCTTCTCACCATTGGACTTCTTGCACCGGAGGATTGGTCGACAAAAATTAAGTTCACATTCTAGCTGGGGTGTCTTCTCTTCTGGGATTAGACTGACTAAAAGACCTCTGTGAGGAGAGGCAAAGACCAGGGGTTCAGCCCAGCCCTCGGGGTACTGTGGTCTTCTAAGGGTGGATTGGTTCTGGAAAGGAACACGGACTCCAGCAGCCCTGGGTCCCTCAGCACCAGTGAGACGGCCCCTCCTCTCGGGATATGGGGGAGAGGGAGAAAGAACAGAGGGAACAGCTGGCTTGCCCTGTTTTGGTAGGGAGTCAGCTGAGTGGAAACAGGAGGCCTCTGGCTCCTCCCACATGTTCAGGATCTTTTCCCTGACATGTCCCCCAGACCGGCATTGTGCTTTGAGATCAAGAGAAAATGGAATGGATCAGTGCCTCAGGGACTAGTGCATCACCCAAGACATCAACTGCCCTCACTTCCCACCCCCTACCCCGAGATTCCCCAATAGAATATTCTACCTGTCCTGACCTAGACTGGGGCCTGAAAGGAAAAGGAACGTTTCAGGCAGGATTCTCCCAAGGCCAATTTCCTCAACCACCGGCTTAGACCTCACCAAGAGGGTACTAGACTTGGACTCTGGGTGGAGTTGGGAGAGGGAGATCCTAGGGGTGACAAGAAAACCTAGAGATGAGGAAAGCCAAGCACAGGCTGGCCTCGTCCCCGGATGGACATAGCACCGTCTGTCCCTCTCTCCGCCCAGAGTCAGTGCTTCCAGTTTTGTAACTCCAGGACCCTCTTCCTGGCTACAAGGGGGCTTTATGGAAGTGAGAGGGAAAAGCCCTATGTGAGGCACCATGGTATGAGGGACCCAGGTCCTTCTGGTACTCTAACTCTGCAACTCTAGATATGAAGATAGGGAAGAGAAAATGCCTGCAGCTCAGCAACAGGCCCCGCCCAGGCCAGACCCAGCCTTAACTTCTGCACAGCACCCTGCAAAGGATAAAGGGGGAGGTGGCTTTCTTCAGGTCTAGAAACATCGCAGGGTGAAACAGCTGTGTCTATCTGTCTGTCTGTTACAAGCCCAGACACACTTTCTTCTTGTTCTCACCTATTTGCCCTGACCACAGACACTTGCAGTCTCGCTTCTGTCCCAACAGACCCCCACTGGAGACACATAGGGCCCTCCTGGCTAGGCATCATTCCAAGACTTTCTGGCATCTCTCCCCACGAGAAGAGGTCCAGCTTAACATGGATCCCCACCACAGGCAGCCCAGTCTCTAACCCTTTGGGCGATGGCTTTCAGCCTGGGAAGCAATTGATGTTCAGTCCCTGGAGATGGGGGGCAGTGAGCAGAGCTCCGGGGGCGAACACCATTTCTCTGCTTTCTGTGCCTGGCCTAACATAGTAAGGCAAGAACCTGACCCCAGCTGTGCTTGCCCGGGAGCTCTCTAGGTCTGTGTGGGCCGAAGTACAAGAAAGAACACACATGGGGCAGGAATTCACATCTCAAAGTGGGAATTCTATTCTCCTTCTGCTGCCCTCGAGGCAGGGCAGGGAGCCCCCTCTTTGAGGGAGAGAGGTGAGTCGATCCCACAAGTCCCCACATAACCACAGAGCCTCCCACCCCCATCTCAGGGGAACGTGCAGAGTGCTGACTGGGAGTCCCGTGGGGCTGGGGTGAGCCCCGACTCTGGAATGTCTGGGTTGAGGAACTGGGCAGGACAGTGAGAGAGAGGGGCGGTGAGGCTATCCGCCAACACGCTTCCTGCCCAGGCCCCGGCCCTGCCAGGGTACCCTGCCTAATCTATCCAGAGAGAAATGACAAAGTCAGTGGAGGGGAAAACCTGCTAGATGAAAGAACCCGAGAAAAGTGGCAGAATGAGGCTTCGGTTGGCAAAAGAAGCTGGAGAAGGGGTAAGAATAGACAAGCTGTCGCTGATCTTAAAAAAAAAAAAGAGAGAGACACTGAACGGGTGTCTGTGGACGGTGAGGCCCCAGGATGGATGCGATGCTGTGGAATGCACTGAAGATGGAGGGAGGGGGGCCCGGGGCTCAGATGGCCTCCACGTAATTGGCTGGCAGCATCCCCGTGTCGCCCGTGCGCTCCACGGTCCCGTACATCCAGCCGTCGTCGATCTGCTGCACGTTGACAATGGTGTCCCCATCCTGGAAGGAGACCTCGTCCTCATCCGCAGCGCTGTAGTCATACACCGCACGGTACCGCTTCTGCGGGCAGGGGCGACAAGGAAGCACTGAGCTACACTCCCAGACCTCCATTTATTTCTAACTCTGGGGGCTCCTGAAGCAGGGTTCAGGGGAACAATGAACCAAGACATGGGGAATGGGAAGGGAAGAGTGCTGAGCTGTGCTCTGAAAGTTCTTGTTTCTTAGTCTCTGAGAACACACATCCTTGTTCATAAAGTATTTGGTTTTAGATCAAGAGACAGACATAGGGTAAGGGTACACTCTCTCTGCCTCTTGTCCCATGCTGGGAGACTTTAAAAGCTGGGAGTGGTGGTGCATGCCTGTAATCCTGGCATTTGGTGACTAAAGCAGGATTGACAATTTCAAACTAATCTGGGCTAATATTAGCAAGATTCTCTCCTTCCCCCCATGTGTGTGTTTGTGTGTGTGTGTGTGTACATGTGCACTAGTCCTATAAGTTGAACTCAGGGCTTGGGTGCTGTCTCTAAGCTTTTGTACTGGAAGCTAGTATTTTGCCACTTGAGCCACAGCTCTCCACTTTGTGCTTTTTTTTTTTTCCTAGGGGGTGGGGTGGGGATAAGGGGGGTGGTATTGGAGATAAAGGTCTCTCAGACTTATCCTGCCTGGGCTAGCTTTCTTCAGACTCAGTCTCTTGAATAGTTAGGATTATAGGCATGAGCCTCCAGCAACTGGCAACCTTATTATTATTATTATTATTTTGGCAGGGGTGGGGGTAAAAAGGAGCCCAGCGCCAGTGGTTCATGCCTATAATCCTAGCTACTCAGGAGGCTGAGATCTGAGGATCGCGGTTCAAAGCCAGCCCTGATAGGAAAGTCTGTGAGACTTTTTTTTTTTGGTGGGTCATGGGGCCTGAACGCTGTCCCTCAGCTCGTCAGCTCAAGGCTAGCGCTCTACCACTTGACCCCCAATGCCACTTCCAGCTTTTTCTGTTTATGTGGTGCCGAGGAATGGAACCCAGAGCTTCATGCATGTGAGGCAAGCACTCTACCACTGAGCCACCTTCCCAGCCCTGTGAGACTCATCTCCAATAAACCACTAGAAAACTGGAAGTAGCACTGTGGCTCAAGTAGTAGAGCGCTCACTTTGAACTGAAGAGCTAAGGGACAGCGCCCAAGCCCAGAGTTCAAGCTCCGTGACGGACAAAAAAAAAAAAAGGTAAAAAGGAATAGACCTAGATCCCCATAAACCTAACACCAAGGTGACAAGCCCTGTTCACTATGATGTGGATTTCTTTTCTTTGGGGGAGTGGGTAGTGGTACTGGGGTTTGAACTCAAGGCTTCAAGTGCTTACTAGGCAGGCACTCTACCAATGAGCCATGCGCTCAACACTTAAGTTATTTTCCAAATAGGATCTCTTGGACCAGCCTGGACTGAAATCCTATTTGTGCCTCCTTGAGCTGCTGAGGAGGACAGGTATGCTCCCCGTGCCCAGCCACTGACTGGGGCTGGCTTCTGATGATCTTTCCCCCCCAAACAGTAAGGACTATAGACTCGAGTCTCATTTGTTTTGTTTTGGAAACAGGGTTTCATTATGTATCCCTGACTCTGTTTCCCAGGCTGACCTCAAACTTACCATCTCTGCCCCAGACTTCCAAGTACCAGGATTATATGAGTGTACCACCAGGATTATATGAGTGGTCAAGATTGGAGAAAGTGCTCTGAAGGGAACCAGTTGGGGGCCAAATGACAGAAAACATCAGGGGAGATCCATTTGCTATGGGTTGGTTTGGGAAGGGCCTTCAGAGGAAAGGACATGTCAAGACGTGAAGGACAAAGTGGGTCACCCTCATGAAGAGAGGAAGAACAAGGTCCGTGTCTAGAAGGCCCCAAGCAGAAAGGTACTTCATCTGTGCCAGGCAGGGAGAGCAGGTAGAGGCCTGACTAACTCAAGGTATACCCAGGGCTAGAACACAGGACCCCAAGCCCAGTCAGACTCAGCTACTTCACCATACTTCTTCTGTGAGGCTGCCCCCCCACCTCCCGCCACAGACAACAGGAGATGAGTCAAAGGCCAGGCGGTCCATTGGCCTCCGACCTCTGAGACCTCTCCCCTCCAGCCGGTTACTCACCCCACCCCCTCCAGGAGCGCTGCGCTGTATGGAGACGGGGGCTGCAGGCTCCTTGTAACCACCGTAGGATGGGGTCACTTGCTGCTGCTGGGGCTGCTGGTAAGCTGGAAGGTAGGTAAATAAAAGCATCAGAAAATGTCTGGCCAAATCTAAGCATCCCCTGAAAAACAATCTCCATGGTCAAAGGCTTGTTGCCTACGTGTATGCGCGTGCGTGTGTGTACAGGCAAGCAGGTAGTGCCCTGGGCTCCACAGCTAGGGCTCTGCATCTTGTCATGTGTATGGGTGGGTTAGGAGGGAGGGTCCTGCCCTCAGCCCAGCACACGGCTTGAGCCCAGGGTTCATACCCTTGCCACTGATATGGCCTGGCGGGGAGGGGGATAGGGGGTGTAGAACCAGCTCTCTGAAAGTATGCATGTATGCCTTGGGCTTTCTCTTCAACCTCTTTCCTAGGGTTACAGCAACCTGGCCTCACAGCCTGTGTCTCCACAGGTGGACACTCACCTGTGGTACTGGTTGGGATGTGGTGTGGCTGCTGCTGCTGCTGATCTGGGGGCCGCCGGTAGCTGCTGCTGTCCTGGGATTCTCGGCGCTCCGGTTCTATCCCCTCACCCCCACTGGGGCCCATGCGGCTCTTCTCAAACTCCTCATGGTATTTGATCTGCAGGGCAGACGTGCCAGGTGAAGGATCCCACAGCAAACCAACCACTCCCTTCCTGAGGTCACTTAAGACAGGCATAGTGGTGAGCACCAATAGTCCCACTTACTGGGGGAAGGCTGAAGCCAGGAGTTCAAGGCCAGTCCAGGCAACATAGTGAGATGCCTGACTGGGGAGGAACTGAGAAGAGGGAAAATCCTAAGCTGGAACAGTCTCCTGCAGGGCCCCACGAAGACAAAGCACCACATACATAGATTTAGCCTTGACAAGCCTTAGTTTCTACCTCTAAGATGGGATATCTGAAGCCCGGTGCTGGCAGCTCATTGCCTGTGGTCCCCCATACTCCAAAGGCTGAGATGTGAGGATCAAAGTTAGAAGCCAGTTCAAGCAGAAAAAGGGAGGCTCTTGTGTCCAATTAACCAGTGGAAAGCTGGAAGTGGAGCTGTGGCTCATGTGGTAAAGTGCCAGCCTCGAGGGAAAAAAAGCCAAATGAGGGCTCAAGGCCCCCAAGTTCAAGTCCTAGTACAAGCACCAATATAAATAACACAAAATAGGATATGGGTGTCACCTGAGCTGCACTGGAGGCTGTGCTGAGATGATCACTGTCAAAGGACCATGTGAATGAAAGCATCAGACGAACGTGAGCTGTCATTAGTGTATATCTATGGCACGGATTGGGCCTTCCCTGCCTCCTCAGGAATCATCAGGAACACTGCCAACTCCTGCTGACTGAACCCTAGCACTGTGCTTGGTATTTAAAAGTACCACATCTATGGGAGACTTCGCCTGGCAGAAGGGGCTTGCTTGCCTAAAGACTGGTTTGTATATTCCTGTTGCTGACACACATTTGAGCGTAATCCCTCAAATCGCATCTATTTTATAAACACACTTTACAAATAGGGAACATATAATGTAACACATGAAATTATTTTAACGAAACACAGAAGTTCTAAGGTTTTCTCGTAGCCTCAAGGGGACTTCCTACCCCCGTTTCACAGAGGAAATGGATGATGAGATCAGCCGAGAGGAGGTGCTGAGGCTCAGGGTTTGAGTGTTCTGTGGCTGCAGGGCTGGTCTAAGACTAGAGAGGAAGTGGCAGGGTGACAGAGTGAACAACCCATCCTTACCCCCAGGGAAAATGAAGAAAGCGGAAAGCAGGACAGTCCCAGAAACCAGTTCCATCCCAGAGGTTCAGGCAGGCCTCGGGCACCTGCCAGGAGGTAGCTCTTACTTCCTGTTCACAAGGATCCTGCCCTGCCCTTTCCTGATCCTAGAAACGCTGAGGGCAGGGAAGAGGGAAAGGAGCAGGGCAAAGATGACTGTTTCCTGTAGCCAGTGGGAAGAGCGCCTGACCCTGTGTCCAGGCCAGCAGGGCGGGACTAGGCTGTGATGGCCCAGCGCCGCCTCCTTGGCCATCCACTCTCCACAGGGAGTCGTTGCCATCTCTCATCCTTGACATTCACTGCCCACAGTGAGCCAGTGAGCCCTTTGCCAGGCACGACAAAAGCACTGTGGCTAATTGGGAATACCTGTGTGGCTTGCAAGGCTAAATAATAGTTATTTACTAAGGTCTGGGCTAGAGGCAGAGGATGGCTCACCTGGTTTGAGTTGGGATGGGTCCCTCTTTTCCCCATCCTGATATTTCCCTTTATGACCCACACCCAACATGGCAAAATATGTGGAGCCTATGCCTGGGGAGGGGGTTCACTCTGGTGAGAGTGAAACCCTCCAATCCTACTGAGAAAGGTCCCCGAGGGTAAAGTGTCCATATAGGGCAAAAGGTGAATTTCCCAAGCCCTACTTCCCCTGGTGACCTTGGCCCCTGGAGGGACACAGGAGAGGACCCCTCTGTTCCTGAACCTCCAAGTTCACCGGCATCTGCCCTTCGGACTTTTATCCCTTGTTTACTTTCTGTTAGTGAAATGAGGCTTGATCCCAGGAACCAGTGTGTGCGGGGCAGAGTGTAGAAGTAGGGGAACAGATGTCTGTGCTGGGGCCTGGGGGTGCTGGACAGGAGGCCTGCAGGGCAGGTGTTCCTGGCACAGGGCCCAGCGATCCTGCGTGACAGCCTCTCGGGTGTGGCTGTGTGCACTGGAGCTGGTGAGACGGACGGCTCTGGGGAAGAGACAGGTTGGGGCTGCAACTCCTCTTCTGCCCCAAGGCCAGGTTCTGTCCCTCATCACTGCTCTGTAAGTCAGCCCTTCCCCGTGGCTGCTAGCCAACACTCATGGCTCATTCCATTTTTTTTTTTTTAACCTTGGGAGTGTCCCCTTCCCCTCTAGGCCCCAGTCCTGATGGTCATGATGCCAAATGCTTGGGTAGTCCTGAAGACCTGCTCTGAAAGCAGGTGTGGTCACGTGTGTATTTCCACAAGCAGCTGGTGGAATCCATCTCACTCTTTAAATGCTGTTACTTGCCAGGCACCAGTGGCTCACGCCTATAATTCTAGCTACTCAAAAGACTGAGATCTGAGGATCCAAGCCAGTCAGAGCAGATAAAGCCATGAGACACTTATCTCCAATTAGCCAGCAAATAAAACCATAAAATGAAACCGCTCAAGCAGTAGTTCCCAAATCTAGCAAGCAAGAAGTCCTGAGTTCAAAACCCCAGTATCACACATAAATGTAAATTGCTACCTGTGGATAAATGTGTAAAGAACTTAGGGACTGAAAACCCAGACAGCCGATAGTGGCAGCCTGAACACAAGGCATCCTCTTCCTCAATATTAACAACCTCCACATTTGCACAGCCCTGCACCCTAACGCTCCTCACACATTACCTAGACTCTGATGACAATCACCCTTAAATCAATCATAGACACTTTACATTCCCATTTTGCAGAGAAGGAAAATGGGGCTCAGAGGGACAGTAAGTTCCACAAAAGAACTTTCCCTGCTCTGAAACAGCAAGTGGGTTACACAAGGACACAGTGCAGGTAACACAAGCCCCTTCTTCCTGAGAGCAGACTACCCACATGTCCATGTGCCCAAAGTCCTAGTTGAAGCCTGCTGGTCTGCACCTCCACTTCCTCCCCAGTAGAGGAAGAATCTGTTAGTACTGTGCCTGCCCTCCTATAGGTTTAAACAAATAGGCAAGGAAATATTGTCTGGCCTCTGAGGGCCTTGCTGAACAGATTTCAGATGGTCTCAGAGCCTTCCATGAGGCTGAGTCAAGGCATCAGCAGAGGCCCAGTGGAAGATCATGTAAGATCACACTCCAGGGCTGGGAAGGTGGCTCAGTGGTAGAGCGCTTGCTTTGCATGCCTGAGGCCCTGGGTTCGATTCCTCAGCACCACATAAGAAAAAAGAAAAAAGCCAGAAGCGACGCTGTGGCTCAAGTGGTAGAGTGCTAGCCTTGAGCTGAAGAGCTGAGGGACAGCACCCAGGCCCAGAGTTCAGGCCCCACGACTGGACCCAAAAATAAAAATAAAAATAAATAAATAAATAAAATAAAATAAAAAGATCACACTCCAGCTGTCCCATGAGGCCTTAAGTGCACAGGCAGTCAAGGCCTAGACACCCTGGCGTTGATCTACTACTGGCCAGACCTCCATATGACTAGGTAGTGTCTCTTCCAAAGCTCTGCTGGCGGAACTTCTGCTTTCTGAAGCACCTGCTTCCTGATTGTGGTGGAAAATAAAAGCCTGACTGTCCACACAACCCTCCCCGCGTGATTCTGCATCAGGGCCAAGGAGGGAACATCAGTCTTTGAATGGAATAAACTACTCACGTGCCAACTCCTTCTCCCTCCTCTCTTTCTCAGACAATAACGCCTCCCAAATCTCTAGGATTTGCTGAAATCCTAGTTTCTGTGGCCTTATATGCATTACTTCTTTCCTTAGCCAGCCCAAGAATTACATTACCATTATCACCCCCATCTTATCGGTGAGGAAGCCAAGGCTGAGAAGGTGAGTGCCTAAATCAGAATCCAGTTCTAACATCTGAGCCCTAGTTCTCAATTTCCATTGCAATACTGCTCGTGGTACAAGTCACAATGTTTTATTTTTTACTTGCACTCTACTACTTAAGCCACAGCACCACTTCTGGCCTTTCTGATAGTTAATTAGAGATAGTCTCATGGACTTTCCTGCCTGGAAACCATTATCCTCAGATCTCAGCCTCCTGAGTAGCTAGGATGGCTTGTTCTGTTTCTTGATTTACATATGATACTATGTGTTGTAATTCACGGAGGAAAAAAAATGGTTAAAATTGGGCCTAGGGAAATATCTCAATGGTAGAGCACATACTTAGCAAGGGAAAGACCCTGGGTTTGATCCCCAACAAAAATACCAAGCTATGTACAAGAGAAGCAATACATAAGCAAATATGTAGCTGGGTGCTGGTGGCTCACACCTATAATCCTAGCTACTCAGGAGGCTGAGATCTGAGGATTGCAGTTCAAAGCCAGCCTGGGCAGGAAAGTCTGAGACTTTTATCTCCAATTAACCACCAGAAAACCGGAAGTAGCACTGTGGTATAAGTGGCAGAGTGCTCTCCATGAGCTGAAGAGCTGAGGGATAGCGCCCAGGCCCAGAGTTCAAACCCCACAACCAGGGGGTGAGGTGGAGGGAGAGTAAATACCTAAAGGCAGGTGGAACTCCAATATCTGAACTTTCTCATATGTTAAAGACCTCAAGAAGCCCAGTACTGGTGGCTCACACCTATAATCCTAGCTACTTAAGAGGCTGAGATCTGATGATTGTGTTTCAAAGCCAGCCAGGGGCCAAAAAATTCTGTGAGACTGTTGTCTCCAAGCACCAGAAAACCAGAAGTAGAGCTGTGGCTCAGTGTTGTAGAGTGCTAGCTTTGCACAAAAAAAACTCAGGGACAGTGCCCTGGCCCTGAATTCAAGAGCCAGGACACACACACACACACACACACACACACACACACACACACACCCTCTCAAGAGCCAAACACACACACACACACACACTCAAGAGCCAGCTACTTGGTTGGGAAGCAGAGGTAGGAGAATACCCAACTGGGATTAGCCCAGAGCTCCTGATCAAAGGCCAGCACAGCAAACACACAGCCTGAACCCACCGCTCAGCATCCATCCTCCCATCCTTTAGTGTGGATAGCACTGCCACAAACATATACTTTACAAGACTTTATTATACCTCTCAAGATGTCCTGTGCATTCTTACTATTCCACTCAAACTTTTATTTATTTATTTAGTCAGTTGTAGGGCTTGAATTCAGGGCCTGGGTGCTGTCCCTGAGCTTTTTTCACTCAAGGCTAGTAGTGCTCTACCACTTTGAGCCACAGTGACACTTCTGGCTTTGAGATAAGAGTCTCATGGACTTTTCTGCCCAGGCTGGCTTCGAACTGTGATCCTCAGTTCTCATCCTCTGAGTAGGTAGGATTACAGGCATGAGCCACTGGCACCTGGCTTCAGTCAAACATATGGGCTTGCACACGCTAAGCATGCATTCGTTCTACCTCTGAGCTGCTTACCAGGAGTCTCTCTGACTCTTCAGTCACAACATAGAAAGCAGGATAGGTTAATCTTTGAATAATAATATCATTGTTATTCACACAACAGAGGACAGGTTGTGTGCAGCCAAAGCGACCGTCCCGCTATACATACTGCCATTAGACACTTGTTTTTCAAGAGCTCTGGCTGGTAAAATCCCATCTGCAGCCTACTCTTGCAGGGAAGGCAAATTTTCATCTCTACAGGACAGTCTGACCTTTAGAAACAACCACCCTTCATTTGGTGCTAATCTGGGAAGGGACAAGCCACATACAGGAAACAAAACACAGGTGTGGCTCCTGACTCTATCTTTCCCAAAAATCTTCTGGAGGCTGGCATAGTGTAGCACCTGAAAGTGATTTAAAGTTTCCCTGGGAGGTTCTGGGGCCGAGCCAACGTCTAAAGTCCTGACTTAAGGGTCAGTGCACTCAGGAGCCCAGGGAAATATGGATTTTACACACACACACACACACACACACACACACACACACACGAGGCTACCTCAGGTGGCATGGGGGAGAGGAGGTTGCCTTTGTGCTAAAAGCCCTGACTACAGGGTATTTATTCTGACTTGTTTCATATGTTGCCAGACAGACTTTAATTGCATTCATTAAAAGCAAGAAAGAATCTTCCAGCTTGTGGTCACACTTCACAGGCCCCGGCTACAGCTGCAGAAGCAGCTGAGGCGGACGCCAGGTCAGGTTCAAGGTGCCTCCCCCAGCTCTGGGCTGAGGACCATCAGCTAATTGCAGCTCTGTGGCTGTCGATAAGATGGTTATCTCCTTGGGGTGGCAGTCTGGCCACAGGGAGTTTTTTGTTAACTAGGATTCCTCAGACATTAACACCTCTGACAAAGCGGGGCAGTGGGGTGGCAGGGGAGCAGGTGAAATAGGCTGGATATGGAGTATTCTGGAAGCCTTCCAAATAGGAAGACAGGGATCACTGGGCTTGCTTGTCTCCTTCTTCCTCTAAAACTCATAGGATGAAGCAGTGAATGAATGTGCTGCTGGGCTGGCAGTACCAACAGGGAGCAAACAAAGAAAGACAAGGAAGAGCTTTCACAATAAAAAGCCACAAATTCCAGCTTCATGAGCCATTCCAGGTTTTCCCCAGTGTCCAAGGTCATGCCCTGCCCGCCCCCACTTCCGCACTGCGAGTTCTTAAGACAGACCCAGCTACCCCTGAAGGTTCTCACCCAGAGGGGAAGCCCTCAGGCATGAGCCTGACCCTCCAGGCTCAAGGGAAGGACTTCATTCTTCAAATCTGTAATATCAAACGTATGTCCACAGCTTGGTTGCTAGCTTCCTTCCTTCTTCTCATTCCTTCTTTCTTTTCCCCTCCCTCCCTCCCTTCCTTCCTTCTTGTCTTAAGTCAGCAAGACACCAAGTGTCTCAGGCCTGTCATCTTAGTTACTCAGAAGGCTGAGATCTGAGGATCACAGTTCAAAGCCAGCCAGGGCAGGAGATGCCATGGGACTCTTATCTCCAATAAACCACCAGAAGCCCAGAAGCAAGGCTGTGGCTTCAGTGGTAGAGTGCTAGCCTTGAGCAAAAAAAGCTCAGGGACATCCACTCAGGTTCAACCCCCCAGTACATGCACACACATTGTCTCCCAACGTAACCTAAGCTGGCTTTAAACTCGAGGTCCTCTTGCTCCATGTTCCCCAGTGCTGAGATTACAGGTATTGCACCACAACTGTTTCTTTATATAAGCAGACATCAGCCTAAAAGCCACCATACTGGCATGGCTGATTCTGCTGGCTGTCCTGCCCTTCTGAGATCTACCTGACCCATGGTTACAGCCCCCGGGAGGCCTGGCCCAGCCAACGTGTAGAAACTCCCTGCCAAGGAAGCCCAGTGGAGGAATGGCAAGGGGAAGGGTTAAGGGATGAAGGGAAAGGGTATAAAGATGGGGGGGGAGAGGAGGGAGGAGAACACAGTGTGAGTACTGGAAGAGCCCTCTCCAGCCTCTAACCCCACAGCCACCAGCCATCACCTCCTTCCTTTTATAGACACAAACACAAAATAGCATGCCTCCTCCATCTACAGGACCTCTGTGTGCAGGCTGGCCAAGTACATCCTGCTGCTCTGTGCATGGGCTCCTGAGCACCTACTGTGGTTGTGGCTCACCTTACTTCCACATACCCCACATCGGACCCCCACGAGCCCCAGAACCACACCGCCTGCTGGTCTGTAGCTCTGCCAAAAAGGAAACTGCTACCTGCTCTCTGGCCCCAGCTGCTATGGATGGCCGTGAGGCGGAGCTGAGCCCTCCTGCACCCACTCCCCACAACCCCCCACCCCCAGGCACAGCCAGGAGATGCCGACCAGCTCAAGGCCAGGGTCAGCAGACAAGCCAGCGAGGGTTTTCACACAGGAAGGAAGAGCAAGCCGGGGTGGGAGGCTGGTGAGGGGGGGCGGAAGTGACTACACTGCCAGCACCTAGTGGCAGACAGGAGGCCTCCCTCCCTCCCCAAACCCCAGTTTTCTGTGCTAGGATGAAGTATATAGTGTGTACCCTGACACCCACCATACCCAGAGAAGAAGAAAAACCAGGCTCAGGGAGTGGGGGTGATTTAGCACAGAGTCCCTGTCCCACCCTCACCCCCTAAAAGGGTGGCCCCTTCCAGGCAGAAATGCAGACAGAAAGGCACCTGGGGACCCCAGCTCTCCCCTTTCCTCTGCTTAGCCGAGCCAGCCAAACCCTCCTGTAAGGGCAGTGAGGAAGCTGGCCTCCTGCTCTGTCAGGCTAGCAGGAGGGAGGGGACAGTGTGGTCACCACAGCAGGGGACTGGAACTCACGTTGCTGATCTGGTCCTGGGTCTTCTTGATTCTCTGCAGTTCAGGTGTGTCTGCCACCACGCTGAAGCCTTTACCCTTGCTCTTCTCAAATTCTTCCTTGTAGCGCACCTGGGGGCCAAGAGAAAGAGGGATTGGATTCAGGAGGTGGAGACAGGGGCTAGGAGAAACATCTTGATGAGAAATCCCCAACACAAAGCAGAAGGCTTGACCCAGGATATTTATCAGTGTACTCTGAGTGGCAGGCTCAGGGCCAAGTGCCTTCATGAATCATATTGCTTAAATCTATACAGGCACACACTCTGTCCTATTTTATTGATAAGGAAACTGAGTCATCAAGAATTAAAGTCTCGGGCTGGGAATGTAGCTTAGTGGTAGAGTGCGAGTGCTTGCCTAGCACGCATGAAACCCTGGGTTCGATTCCTCAGTACCACATCAACAGAAAAAGCTGGAAGTGGCGCTGTGGCTCAAGTGGTAGAGTGCTAGCCTTGAGCACAGAAAGGCTCAGGGACAGTGCCCAGGTTGAGTTCAAGCCCCAGGATTAGCAAGAAAAACAAAAACAAAAAAAAAGAATTAAAGTCTCCAACCGAAATCAAAACCATATAACATACTAGCAAATGTTCACAGACACCATATAATCCTACCTACTCAGAAGACTGAGATCTGAGGATTAGTGGTTCAAGGCCAGGCTGAGCAGGAAAGTCTCTGACTTCTATCACCAATTAACCATCATAAAGCTGGAAGCTGCTGAGCGCTGGTGGCTCATGCCTGTAATCTAATCCTAGCCACTCAGGGAGGCAAAGAGGAGAGGATCAAGCCAACTGGGGCATGAAAGTCTGTGAGACTCTTATCACCAATTAACCACCAGAAAACTGGAAGTGGTGCTGTGGCTCAAGTGGTAGAGCCCTTGCCTTGAGCTGAAAAGCTCAGGAACAGTGCCCAGGCCCAGAGTTCAAGCCCCACAACCAACAACAACAACAAAAAAGCTGGAAGTGGAGCTATGGCTCATGTGATAAGAGTGCCAGCCTTGAGTGACAAAGCTAAGGGACACCGCACGGGCTCTGAGTTCAAGCCCCAGTACTAGCTCCTATATGCGTGCACACACCCAAAAATGCAAGTCCTCACTCTCCTGTCTCCTGACCTTTTACCTTCAGACCCCCCCCCCATCCTGCCTATAGCTATAAGAAGATTCTAGTTGAGCTTTTAACTTGAGGGTAGGGATGGGGGGAGGGGGGAATGATGGAGGATGGAGGACGTGACATAGATCAAGACGTGTTGTACCCCTAGCCCGACTTACGAAATTGAAACCTCTTTGTACAACTACTAAATACATAAATGCATTTAAAAAAAGCAACTTCTTGCCAATGCTCCAAGAACTCTTCAGCCCTCACCCAGCCAGGATGTGGCCCTACCCACCAAAAGCCTGGGAGAGTTTTTAACTGACTAGTTGAGGGAGAGCTGTGCCAAAAGGATAAAACTGGTGCCCAGAAAGAAGGGTGGTAAGCCAGCCACCGGGAAGGTTCCATCAATGAGCCTCTGACAGGCTCTGGCAGCTTCCTGGAGCCTGCCAGGCTAGCTTCTGAGGCCGATGCCACTGGAGAGGAGATAACTCACGTGGGAAACATTTCAGAAGAGAGGGTCCTAGCTCCAGGCTCCTCCTACCACCCACTCCTCTTCTAAAGAATTCAAGTCAGATATCAGAAAGGACTTCCCTGACACAGCAAGAAGAGATAAATGAGGAACAGCTTGTCCTCCCCTGGGGATTCTGAAGAATAGAACAGTATTTCAGGAAATACTCCTGGGACAGGGAATGATCCCTTGGCTTCAGAAATGTACCGTCTCCCTCCGCAACCATCTGTTTCTAGCTTCACCAGCTGCCTGGATTTCCTCCATGGGGGATCCCAGGGGTCAGCCCAGGACAGTCGGACCAGGGCTTTAGCAGTTTCCAGGACAATAAGCCCAGGCAAGCTCCCAGGTCTGGAGTCGTCCACAGTACTGAGCTGACGGTACCCTGAGCACCCACAGCACAAGGCCACACAGATCAGGGCATTCCCTGACCTTTTTGTTCTGACCAAGGGCTAGCCAGGAACTGGTGGCTCACACCTGGAATCCTAGCTATTCAGGAGGCTGAGATCCGAGTATCATGGCAGTCTTGGCAGGAAAGTACTTGAGATTCTCATCTCTATAATCAATCACCAAAAAGAAGGAAGTAGAAGTGTGGCTCAAATGGCAGGACACCAGCCTAGAGTGAAAAATCTAAGGGGTACTGCAAATTTAGTGCCACACCCCCCCAAAAAAAAATAAGAGGAGAGAAAAGGGCTAGAGGGAGCCGAGAATGACAGGCTGTGGTCTTGGGCCTCAGTTCCCATATTTGTAAGGTGGGGATCAATGAAGCAGACAGGGGCTCTGCGAGGAGCGCCGTGATGGATACACATGGGCGAGAGTGACTGAAAATGCCTTGTCAATGTTCATTTGCTGAACCACAGCCAACCCCACTCCCTCCTGTTTCCTGGCTTGGCAAGGGTCAGGCCCCTAATCCAAGGGAACAATCACCATGGTGACACTGCAGTGACATCAGCAGGTTCCCAGGCTTGGGAATGAGCCTCCCTGTCCCTGCTGGGAAAGGATAATTCATTTCACCCTGGTAAGCCTGAGAGCCTTGTGCTTGGGTCTTGGGGAGGAGCAGGGGAGTTCTGCCTGTTTTCCTGTGTCCCTAGCAGATCAGCTGATCTCTGCACTGGAATCGGGGACCCTACGTATGACATCTGTAGGACCTAATTGGAGAACCGAGGTGAGAAAGACTCACTGAGGGCAGGAGGGTGGTCAGAGGTCTGGAAGGTATGCCAGCACTCAAGAACAGGACCAGAAATATGAGGGGTGGCCCACTGCAGCGTTAGGAGGGAAGGGACCCGCCTGAAGCCACTGAGCCTGGGTATCAGCTGGGCTGGAGTACATCTCAATACTTTGGCGGGGAATGTGTCCCTTATGAGAACCAGGACCTCCCACCCTGGCAACTCCCCACAGCTGGGCTAGGACTAACCCCTAAGGCACCAAATCAAATGTTCAGTAAACCACTGGCCATAAAACTACTTTTTGGATGTGGGTTCTTAGTCATTCTCCCTGGATCTCTGTCTCGTCTCGTTCACCACTATTCCAGCAAACAGTAAGTCCAAATCAATGTGTGTTGGCTGAATATAAATGATCTGAATGTAGACACATCATCTCCCAACAAATAAGGCAACATAATTTGACAAACACTTGCTCTGATGATCAGTGTAAGAAAGAGATAAGCCAGCCTGGCAAGGCAAGCCTATTTCCCCGGCAATCAGGAAACTGACACAGGAAGATGACAAGTTCAAGGTTAGCCTAGTCTACACAGGAAGACCCTATCTCAGAAAGAAAGAGGAGGAGGAGGACAAGGAAGAGGACAGCAAAAAAAGAAAGAGGAAAAGGAGGAGGAATGAGGAGGAAGAAAGAGGAGTTAGAAAAGAAAGAATATGACTTAAAATAGACTGAGAAAAATATACTACTAACCATTCTACTATTATAGGCTTAGTACTTGCCTATATTATGTAATCTTTAATATATATATATATATGTATATGTATGTATATGTATGTATGTATGTATGTAAAAGCAAGCAGAGTTTAAATTTAATAGGCAAAAGTGAGGAAGAGCATTAACAGGAAAGGCCAAGGCTGGAAGCAAGGGTCAAAGATCCAATCCTCTCCCTTCCAGGAAAACAGTAAAAAAGCAACAATTTACGGAGTGCTGGCTCCATGCCCAGAACAGTCACTAGAATAACATATACCTTTGAAGAGAGGTGAGCCCCACTTCATACATGAAGACCTTTGGCACAGAGTAGTTAAACAACTTGTCCAGGGTCACACAGGTAGCAGTGACAGATCTGGGAGGGTAGTCACTTGTGCAGGTGAGTAGAATGTCATTCTTCCTGGTGTGCTAATGCTTGCTGTGCTTGTGAGAGACCCAAGACAGCTGAGACAATTCTGTCCCCGGAGGTTTTTCACTACACAATCCCCCCTTGCTCTCCCCTTGGTGACATTTTTCACAACACTACAAAAGGTATCAGTCCTGCGGCCTGAACTCAGGGCCCAGGTGCTGTCCGAGTTTTTGGGCTCAAGGCTAGGGCTCTACCACTTTGAGCCACAGTGCCACTTTTGGTTTTCTGGTAGTTTATTGAAGATAAGAATCTCACAGACTTTCCTGCCTGGGCTGGCTTTGAACCATGATCCTCAGATCTCAGCCTCCTGAATAGCTAGGATTACAGGCATGAACCATGGGCACCAAGCTAAATGAGCCACTCTTCTGCATGAGGGAGTAGAGTGTCAGAGCCTGGACCGGCCCAAGCTGCTGTCTCTACTCAGCCTGATCAGTTCTGAGTGATCAGAGGGTCATTTCTGGACAGTTCTGTGGTTAACACTGTTTTCCTGGGGAAGGCTGCTGCAGGTGCCCCAGACACCCAAAGTGCCACTTTGGGACCAATATAGACAGGAAAAGAAAGCCAAAATAGCACAGGCAGCTTTGCAAAGACACAGAAGGGCTAAGACATTTGCAGGAGGCCCAGGACAGGCCCTGGAAAGATACCCTGCCAACACCCTGGTGGGGTGGGGCTGGCCCGACAAAGCACCCTCTCACTTCCCTTCCCTTTCCGACAGCCACAGGCAGCTCTAGACAGCACTGCTCCTGCAGGGGAAAGGGCAGCCGCAGGAACAAGACCTGTCACCACCTCCAGCTGGGCAGGCTCAAAGAATCAGGATCCACCACTAGCATCCCCACAAATGGGTCTCTGTTCCCACTTCACTGATCAGGAAGGAGAAAAGGCTATGAGAGGCAAAAACAGCCTCAACCACATAGCTGGTGAGAGATGACAAGATTACACCCAAGCCCCTGACAAGTATGGGGGGGTGGCAGGAGAGGCCTGGGAAGGTGGCCCAGTGGTAGAGCGCTTGCCTTGCATGCATGAGACCCTGGGTTTGATTCCTTAGCACTACATAAGCAGAAAAAGCCAGAAGTGGTGCTGTGGCTCAAGTGGCAGAGTGCTAGGCTTGAGCCTTGAGGGATAGTGCCCAGGCCCTGAGTTCAGGCCCCACAACCAACAAAAAAAAAAAAAGAATGCTGGGTGATTAGCACATTCTACAGACTGGTGACTTGGATCGTGCTAGAACTGTTATGAGCAGAGCAGAACCACATCCGCTAAGCTAGAAATCTGTCTCCCACTAAGTTCTGGGCAAGTGATATCGCCTCTCCAAGCCTCTGTATCACTATCTGTACATTGGGGATAAGGCACCCTTTATCATGTTGTTATGAAGAGAAAAAAGATCAGGTATATGTGAGAACACAGGACCTCACCCACACACACAGCTTGTTCCTCAGTGAACACCTAACAATGATAGTAGGTCAATTTCCAAGTTCCCCAATGTGTCAGCAGCTCAGGAGAGGCGAAGGTCAGGCTCCTGAAGCTGGGGGGGGAGGGGAGGGAGCGCGCAGAGGAGCCTCTGAAGACTAGCATGCTGGGAGCCGGCTACCCTGCCAACAGCTAGTCTTTCTGCTCCTCTCACCTGGGCTGGGTACAAGGTAGGGCAAGGTGCCTCCTCCCACAGACCCCGCCCTGCAGGGATCAGCTTCCAAGGGCAAAAAGGAACAGCAGATGGCCTTGGAGCTGGAAGACAAGGGACCTGAATTGAGAGAGGAGGGGAGAGAGGGAGGGAGAGAGATAGAGGGAGAGAGCAGCAGAGAGGCAGAGATAAAGAGAGGCAGAGAGACAGATATAAAGAGACACAGAGAGAATGCGTGGGGTCTCTCCAGCCTCTATTGGTGTGCACGCCTCAGGACCTGTGCCTTTCCCAGGTCTGCCTCTCTTCCCAGCAGTGCTCAGTATGGGCCCTTCTGATCCTCTCCACCTCTGGTCCCAGGGGCCTTCCTCAAGAACAGGAAGGGGGAGTTCCACCATGGGGAGAGTGGTTAGGGCCAAGCAGCTGGTTGTCGCCAATCCCCTCTCTGCCAGCTCAACCACATGCTGTCCTTAACTGGCAGGGACTTGCTGTGCAGAGACAAACCAGCCCTGAAACACACAGGAGGCCTGAGCCTCAGGCCACATCAGGGTGGTATATGGCCAAGGGACCACACGTAGGTGCTGACAGATCAGGACCCAACTGAACTCCGTGTGTGTCAAAATCCTGTGCTTCTCTCTCAGCTTCAGGCCCCAACCTGTGACATGAAGGAAACAAGTCTCCCATTTACCCCCTGGAGTTGAGTTCAAGGATGAGAAGTATCTCAAAGCACTCATCAAGTTATACAAGTTCTTAGCAGCAGAAGGGACAATGGTGCTTATCCAGAGACTGTTCTGGAGGACTAGATGGAAACCCAGGAACAATGGTCTCAATGTTGGACCAACCTGAACCCCAGGCCTCACTGAACATCCTCACTGAGGATCAGTGAGCTAGTTGGTTTGGCACTAAGCATGACACTTAGTAGTGTTCATATTGTACTGCCTGTATGAGCTTATTAGCAAGTCCCTACATGTCTGAGCCTCAGTTGCCTCATCTGTACAATGGGAAAGCAGCACACTGTCTTGTCACAGGGCTGCAAGGAGCAGCATCTGAGAAAGCACACAGGAGACCCTGGGAAGGGGGTGTGGCTGATTCTCCCCAGTGGCACCCAGGGCAATTATGACAAGATCTGGCTGCAGGAGTCCCACATCTAAGGGGCTCAGTGATCTTCCATGACCCAGATGGAACATTCCTGGACACCTTGCTCACCTGGCAAATCCCCCTAGTGCATTCTGTCATTTAATCCCATAATCCTCATGAAGCCTGGCCCCACTGCAGGCCACGCTCACCCCAGGCAGGGACAGTTGTTCATAACTCCTCCTCCTCAGTAATGAGAGGAGGCAGGGCCAGGGGTGTGGCTTCCTGGAAGAGGCAGCCTCCAATCCACTTCAGGTAGGAAGGGGCCAGGCTCACTCCCACTCCCTGGCCAAAGACAGGAAGTATGAAGTAACTGAGGCAGGGTGGGGGCAGGGAGGCTGGCGGGCACTAGGATTTCAGCAGGACCTTGCTGAGCTCAACCGCAGGGGAAGGAGCTCTTGCCAAATCCGGGTTACGACAGCCCTCCCTCCCTCCCTCAGCTCAAGTCCCTCACCTGACTCTGGAGCTCGCTTTGTTGCTTCAGGCGGAGGTTTTCCGGAGTGTCAGCCACCATGGTGAAGGATTGCTTGGGGTAGTGTCTGCAGGGCAGAAAAACAAAACGAAACACTGGGCGTCACTCTGGGGAAGGGGCAAGAAGAAAACAGAGTGGCAACTTCCTCTTCTCGCTGGGTAGTCACTGCCACAGCCCCACCAGGACCACAAGGGCAGCGGGGTAGTCCCCCCAACATGCAGCAGGCCTGAGTGGCCACTGGCCAGAGAACTGTCCTGAGCCTTATAGAAGCCATTCAATGCCGTTCCCTCAGATTACCCTTGCTTGGAGAAAATCGTCATAAACCCTAGAGTTTTCCTGGGACCACCCAGGAAGGCCTGGTAAGATTGGAGAGAAGATGGGCACAAGGTCCCGACTGAGAACAGATGTGGAGCCTAGCAGTGGAAGAGCAAGAGAGAAAGAGAGAGACAGGCATTTCCTGGGGGGGCTTGCTACAGGAAATGGTGAGAGGCAATTCAGATGTCCATGAGTATTTCAAAGACATGGTGGCTCACGTCTGTATTCCCAGCACGTGGGAGGCTACAACAAGAGGATTTTAAGTTCAAGATTGGCCCGGGCTACCTAGCAAGTTCTGTCTCAAAGCCAGGCACACATGTCTGTAATCCTAGCTTCTCAGGAGGCTAAGATCTGAGGTTCACAGATTGAAGCCAGTCAGCCTGGGCAGAAAAGTTCGTGAGACCCTTCTCTACAATTAACCTGCAAAAAGCCAGAAGTGGAGCTGTGGCTCAAATGGTAGAACACCAGCCTTGAGTGAAAAAGCTAAGGGACAGCACGAGGCCCTGAGTTCAAGCCCAATTCTAGCCTAAAATTTAAAAAGGTGTTTCAAAACACAGGAAAAAAACAAAAAACAAAAAAACCAGAAAGGACAGGGGAGAACACAAAGGAAAGGGTGACATTATCCACAAAGAAATATACCCATTACCTGACTTATGAAACTGCATCCCCTCTGTACGTTATCTTTATAATAACAATAAAATTAAAACTTAGGGGCTGGGAAGGTGGCTCAGTGGTAGAATGCTTGTCTAGCATGCATGAGGCCCTGGGTTCGATTCCTCAGCACCACATAAGCAGAAAAAAGCCAGAAGTAGTGCTGTGGCTCAAGTGGTAGAGCACTAGCCTTGAGCTGAATTGCTGAGGGACAGTGCCCAGGCCCAGAGTTCAAGACCCATGACTGGCAAAAAATAAATAAATAAATAAAATTTAAATTTAAAAAAAATCTAAGGGCTGGGGCTGGGAAGGTGGCTCAGTGGTAGAGCGCTTGCCTTGCATGCATGAGGCCCTGGGTTTGATTCCTCAGCACCACATAAGCAGAAAAAAAAAAAAGCCGAAGTGGCGCTGTGGCTCAAGTGGTAGAGCTAGCCTTGAGCTGAAGAGCTGAGTGAGGGACAGCACCCAGGCCCAGAGTTCAGGCCCCATGACCGGACCAAAAAAAAAAAAAAATCTAAGGGCTAACAAGGCATAATTTAGAGAGCAGTGGGCAGACCAATGGAGGCCAGAAAGGAGGTTACATTCAAGTGACAGGTAAAAGTAACAACAGTTAATGTTACAATGAGCCAAGGACTTCATGTCTTACATCATCAAATTCTCTCTGCTGTTCTATTCAGTGAACACTGCCACCTGTCTCCTCCGACAAGACAGGAGAACTAAGGCACATGGACACTAAGTGACACAATCCAGATTTGCATTCAATCTCTTCAGAGCCCAGCCATGATAAGCACAGGGCCCTGGACCCCAGGCAGGAGGCAGGGCAGTCCGGACTTTAGCCTGCAGGACCTACAGGAAAGATTCCCCCACCCACCCACTACACAGAGGAGGGGACATCGTGTCGGCACCTGGCACTTGTCCCTCAACAGTTTCTTGAGTTAATGCATTTGTCACAACACTGTTCTCTTCTCCTTTCCCTACTACTTCTCTGCTTCACTGATTTTTCCCCATCTCCCAGAACATTCGCTGAAGCTCAACAGTACTTGTTGCCTAAACAAACATCACATCAGGACCTGAAACTGGGGCAGGACCAGAACTCCTGCACTGGACTGGGTCACCATGAGATCCCCTAGCAAACAGGAGAGGAGAGCCACAGGAGAGCTTTTTGTGCCTGTGCTGCTATGAGAGACAGCTGAGGGAGTCTGCATGGGCCCCAACTATTTCAGGGACTGGTGGGTGGCTTCTCTAAGCAGGAAAATCTGGCCATTTTTAGCTTTGGGTGACCGCACCCACCACAGCTGTGACCACTGCAGATCCCTGACTCACAGGCAGCCCCCATGTCAGAAAGAGGTGGATGGTGGGCTCCTGGGACCTCCTTCTAGACATGTCCCACCTGGGCTGGCTGGCTGGCATGCTCAAGAGCCAGACATGAGTTGCCACATGCCTGTGCGTTCACCAAACTTGGCTTGTTCACCAGTGGCCCTGCGCCATCCTGAGCTACCTGGCAACATTTCCCTGTGGATGGATCACTTGGCAAAGGGCAGAACTTGGGGTATAGAGAACTCAACCAAGAAGAGCATGACTAGAAAGGGCGAAGCCCTGGCCCTAGGATGGATATGCTGGGTAATCTTGGCAAGTCCTTTCTCCTTCTGGCTAGTCTCACTGTCCTGGACCTAGGTAGGTGATCCTCGCTATGCCCCGCCTGGGTACTGACTGCCAGGTCAGCAGCTTCCCCAGCAGTGGGGGAGGAGGAAGCAGGAAGAAAAAAGCAAACACAGGTGCCTGCAGCTGGCAACTGAAATGGTCTGTGGATGAACAGGGGGTTAAGGCAGGGGTCCAACCCCTAGGCTTGGCCCAGCTCCATGAAGCCAAGGCCACCCACAGCTCAGGAGACCATCCAAAATTCCTGAGCTGGTCCAGGGTAGGGGAGGATCAAGTCTGTTCCTAGAGACAAGCAAGGGAGAAAAACAGAAGGGCTAGAAGAAAAACCTCTAAGAGTTGGTTGAAGCCAGGTGCTGGTGGTTCATGCCTGTAATCCTACCTACCCAGGAGGCTGAGATCTGAGGATTGCAGTTCAAAGCCAGCTGGGCAGGGAAGTTCATGAGATATTTACTTCTAATTAACCACCCAATAACTGGAAGTGGAGTTGTGGCTCAAGTGGTAAGGAACTAGCCTTGAGCAAAAAAGCTCAGGGACAACACCCAGGCCCTGAGTTCAAGCCTTAGTATAGACACACACACACCAAGAACTATGCTCCAGCAAAGTAGTTTTGGAAATATAGAGATTAAATATTAGTTACCTTTATGATGCATAGTAGTAAAACTAGGAAGACAAGATAAAATCACATGACACAGAGAAAAAAATCCAGTCTGCTGGCCCAAGGTCCTAATAGGGAAAGCTTCAGATCCCCACCCCACCACGCTGAAAGCATTTAGGGCCTGGGATGAGGATCCATCAATCCACATGAGGCAGAAGTGGAAAGATGCTGAGATGTGCAGGCAACTATGGCCAGGCATGAAGGGTCAATTCTGAGAATTCTGTAGCACTAAAGCAATTATAAGTAGGGTGGGGTTGGGGGAGAAATGGGACAGGGACCCAGAAGCTTAGCAAGTCCAAGGAGTCAATCTGCAAAACTGAATGACCAGGTTAAAGAAGCCAGGCACCGGTGGCTCACACCTGTAATACTACTACTCAAGAGGCTGATATCTGAGGATCGAAATTCAAAGCCAGCCTGGGCAGGAAAGTCTGTGAGACTTTTTTGGGGGGGAGGGGTTGGTTGTAGAGCCTGAACTCTGGGCCTGGGCACTATCCCTGAGCTCTTTAGCTCAAGGCTAGTTCCCTAGCATTTGAGCCACTTCTGGTATTCTGGTGGTTTGTTGGAGACTAGAGTCTCATGAAAGCCTCTCCCTATGCTGCAGCTCACACACACCGTATCCACCTTACACACACCTCATGCATAGTGAACACAGACGTACGCATCCTCCGCAGCTGTGAGCAGTGCCTATTCTGAGCTGCAGGACAGCAGCAAGTCCACACCAGCTCAGTGTGACAGGCCATATTCAAATTCTTCCTACACACTGTGGCCCTCTGCTTGCACCCTACACCCCACCCAGAAGGCTCCAGGAACCCCTCTGACCTGCAGCAAGCACTTCCAAAACTGGAATACTAATCCCATCAGAAAGGAAATGGAAAGGGGGGAAAGCCAGACAAGATGTGGATCAGCAGGGGTGGGGAAGGATTTGAATCCTGCATAGATTTAACTAGATAAAGAGGAGCTCCAGAGGTTCCAACTTCCTACCCCTGCCCGCTAAGTCCAGCCCTGCACAGAGGCAGGTGGCAGGCACAGGCTACTTTCCCCCTGCTGGGTCAGCCCTTTCCCCTCCCCACAGCCCCCAGCCCTGGCGAGACAACCCTGCCTTTCCCTTCCCCTGCTTACTGCGCTTCTGGTTCCCATGGCAACCTCAGCTCTGGGCTGAACAGGGAGAAAGAGAGAGAGAAAGAGAGAGAGAGAGAGAGAGATCTCCCCACAGGGTATGGGGGCAGGGGAAGACTCAGAAAGCAAAGGTGCCCTTAACCAAGGAGAAGCCCATGGGGCCTGTGCAGGATCCAAGGGAAGTGAAGGCAGGAGCCCTGGCTCTGTTTCTAGAAAGGAGAACAGAAGATAGCCAGCGCCATTCTCTCCCCCACCCCCATATGACTGTCTTTAAAGAGGGCTCCAATAGATTTGACCTCCTTCCAAAACCAGTTGCTGGGAATTCTATCTTGTTTTTCCTGCCTCTCTCTCCTCAGGTTGAGCCTCCATTACCTTCAGATCCTAGGTGGTACAGAAGGTGCGTGTATGCGTGTGCATGTGTGCATACCAATATGACTTGAGATGAAGAGCCCACCCATCCCTGCTAGAACCCCAACTCCACAACAGCCTGAGTGGTAGGAAAGAATGAGACGTAGAGCTGAATGTCTCTTCCGCTGCCCACCGGAAGAGAGGCTCTGTAGGTGTCCCTCTACTCTCCTGTCCCTGCCTTCACTAGCTCAGGTAAGCAGGCATGGAGACAGCCTGCTTGAACAGGAAGCTCTGGAGAAAGGGAGGGGATGAGGGGTCAGAAG